CCCAAGCAGCCCTGCCAAGCAGAGGTCACGCTTTCTTACTGCGCCCTCAACAGCCACCCGCACTACCGCGCTATGAGTGCAACTCAATATTCATCACCGTGTCTCGCTGTCGGAATCTCTTGACCCAGTACCCTGGCAATGTCCTAGTGCAGTATCACAAGGGCATTCCTTTCGGCCAGCTGAAACAGCAATACGGCCGGACGCCTCCCTCGCCGCAATCCTCAAAGCGAGAAACGCCCTGCCATGTCACTGCGTCACGGGATTCGCAGCACAGCGCACGGGAGAATCCGCCTCCATCCCTGCCACAACCATGCGAACGGTGACAGCCTCGACTCTGGGACTCAAAGCAGGCCAGCCACTTGACAGTTGGCACCTGTCCTGCCCATGTTATCGCCTCAGGCGCCAAACCAACTGTTCGCATCCATCTGATCCCCCCCTGCTAGCCGCGGAGCGTACATTGATGCTCTCACGACCAATCCTCCCCATGTTATCTTGCAACATGTGGTCTCAAGTCTGGTCGGGAACAACATTCCCGCACACCTGTACCACTACTGACGCCATCAGATGAGGGCTGTCGGAGCATATCGCATCATCAGTTGATCCTCGCCAAGATTGGAATGGCCATGCCAGGAACTCTATTACAGTGCGGTAGCACAGTTGCTAGCATGTGAATCACATCAGAGGCAAAAGGTAGGACCAGAAGCTCAAGCGACCCGCACCGTATTACCGTGTGTAAGTCTACGTTCAAGGAGCTGTGCGCACTATCTCCTCACCAAGGCGCAGTCACACCCTCGTCGCGTGGACTACCGTGGCTAGCAGATATGCACAGGTGTAAATAAACGTGCAGTGCAGCCGGCGCGATGTGGGAGCGGGTCGTGGAGAAAGGCCCGCGCCTGTCTCTACCTCTTACTTGCTGACCACCACCACAGCGGCAGTCGGGACTGGCAACATCAGTGTGTCAGAGCAAATACCGTCCTTGACCGATCCGATAGAGCGCCCAGAGGTTTCAACCTCTCAGCACCAGACCGGCGTTCTATTCTCGATCCTTTGACAGGGTTCATGAAAAGGGCGACTCTTGTTGCATCAGCCTTAGCTCCCTCGAGCATCGTGTTCTCGTGTAGTGGCCACGTAGTGGGGTCTGTGTACATTCCTGTCCAACTGGCAATAAAGCGCAATCTGTACTCGGACCACAGCTGTCTGTATCCCCGGAGGAGGGCGTCGCCCTGGACCTGCTTAGTACGACTATCAAGCTAATCATCTGCTTATCTACGAAGGACGCTCAAGAGAAAACAAAACATTCTCAATGTCCAAGTTGAAGACCATCTCGAACACCTGTACGAACGTTCCTGCAGCGTGAGGCAATCCCGCGATGCGGCCGCGCTTGGGACAATCTAGCCTTCGATTGGATAACGCCGCGTATGCAGCAAGCCGCACTTGCATATGCATGTGATGTAGGGTATCCCTGCATGGCCTGAGCCAAGCTCGTGCCCCGCCGTCGTCCACCATCACGGCTCGATCGAACTGTTGGAACAAGGCCTTCACGTGCGGTTCCACTGACAATTTCACGTCTTCGCTTGATAGCACACGAGTGCGAAGCGACCGTCCTTGACCCAGAGCGAGATATTGAATTCTTCCGCGACGGTCATTCTCGAGCCCATGCTTCCATATGGATCAGCACCACATCCTCGTTCAAGCGTTCAGATAGGCGTTCGGCTACCAATCACCACTGGCCACGTCAGGAGCCAGCAGAGCCGTTATCGGGGTATCGACGGAGCAAGTAAGCCACGACCGCTCCTTGCAGCTCGTGGGGTGCGGCGCTTGCCTGTGATTGGCGGGTCGACACGCTCACCGGTCTTGCTTCATGGGTTTTCGCCCCACCCTTTGTCACGCTCTGTGGACGACTCGCTTGTTCCGACGTTCTCTAGCGTCTTTTCGATTGCACTCCAGATGCTCTTCGATGCTCAACAAAGTTCACAATGAACAATCGAAGTGAGGGGTTCATTGTTCGGTTGAGATGACTACCCGTTTTGCCGGCAACAAACATCCTCTAGAAGCGAAGCCTTCACCGCTCTTCTATTCTTGTACCTCGGATCTTCAGTCGAAGGTTGAAGCAATCTAAAAGCTTGACGGCGAGCTAGGGTGAAGTAGACGGCCGTGCTCCCCCCGCTGCGCCGCACACTCAGTGTATGTATGTACATCTAAAGTGCCGGCAGCGACGCAGACGTTTTGGAGTCGTCACTTGAGTCAGGAAGTCGCCGTTGGGCGCACACATGTTGACTTCCGCCTCCATGCAGCATCTCAACGGCAGCCAAAGCAGGCTGCCATCTCGCAGCAGAGTCGCTTGTCGCTAGGGCGGTATGATCCGCACGACATACCTACATGCGTCAGTTGTATGTCTTGCCACAACTCAGGGTACACTGCAGAATGCCCCACGCTATCAAGCGGATTACATACGATCATCAAGAACCTTGGAATGACTCAAATTGAGGAACATACGTTCTAAGAAGGGTCTCAGCGCAACTATGCATAGGCGGCGATGGGTTCCATGGGTGTATTCAGCCTACCGCGAGGTCCTTGCTGTGTTGACCGTCGGACCCAGCTGTACGGACACATAGCGACCCGGGAAACGACTGCAGAAAGCGGCTGCGTCGGTATCGATGCTTCATACATCGAATTATCTTTATCCAAAGATGCACTTTCGCCGGGCAACAGGCGAACAGATAACGCGTGCAAGCGCAATTGCGCTATCTACTGGAAACACGCTACCTTCGATATCTTCTCGATACAACGCCGGCTCGCTAAGGAGAGCAAAGTGTGCTACCCGTGCCCTTTGTAGTGGGCGGCTGGATAAATCACCACGGTCGCTTAAAAGCATGGCCAATATACCTCAGAAGCGTCGGTAATATGACGGCATTCTAGAGCTTCCATCCGAGGGTCTTTACACAGGACCAGAGCATCGCGCGATATTCTACCACCTACGCCTTCCCTTCGTGCCTTCGAATCGTCTAGTGCGTTTCGATAGGTAATCAAAATCAAGACTACCGGGTCGTGTTGTCGTATCCGAGCAAAGCAAAAACACTTTCAGGCCGAGCTGCTTTTGACCGAACCTCCAATCCGTGGCTATGCGAACGGACTACTCACCGAATGTAACGGGCTATGACGCCTAGGCCCGGGCTATATACGCCAAAGCGTTGCTAAAAGCTAGATACGCGTCAACGGTGGTCCACACACAGGATGCTCGAGCTCTTCCATCGCTATCCGAATACACCGAGGAGAACGTGCTCAACCAGCCATCCCGGGATACGCCGGGGTGGCTGGGAAACATGGGCTGATCTGGTACGAAAATCTCTGCATGCATCGCGGGCCGAGAGAACTCACGCATTGGTCGTGTTGCAGTCCACCTTGGTAGTTCATTTAGTCATGTTGAAGTTGCTTGAGTTTTGCTGCGCCTGCCTTGTGGCTGGGTTCGCATTATGCGAACCACGGTACCAGGTGTCATAGCGTGGTGCTACCTTTCAGCTCGCATGTATACTTACGTCTACACACCCTGCAACCACCAATACTAGGTCTTTGCCTTCTGACCCCGCATCGCAGACGGTAATGTCGGGTGTCGACCACCGACTGCTCCCCACGCGTGCCTACAGTTCCGCCTCAAATGTACATGCAGCATGCGCATATGCACGCATTGGGTCCCATTGCCTTGCCTTTGTTGACATCAACGATATGGAATAACTGTGGGAACAACATCACTGTTACTGTTGACAACTGTATTCCAATTCGCGGGAAAGTTGACAATCCCCCGACACGTTCGGCTCCATCGCGCCTCTCATCGCGACATCATCATCCAGCGCGACCGGCTAATGCTTCTCCCCAACCCACTCCGAATCACCCACCTACCAGATCCATGAAACAAGCCAGGCTAAAGCCTGAAACATACAAGTTTGTTACTACGGTGAAACCAGCAAAATACCCATCCGCAATCTCCTGCGAACACATGTTGGAGATCAAACACTCGATGTTGCAAATGTCCACGATGCCATGTTCAACCCAAGACGGGCGCATCCCTCCTGTCGAGTAATTGACGTGCGTCGCGGGTCGGCTCTGCATGTTTTGACACATTCGGTATCCTTTACCCTGCATTGCAGACGTGCCTCGGTGAGGCGTGCATGCGCAGGCTTGCTCGTGTCTCAGATGTGGCAGGATTGTACTGCTGCAGCCTTGCTCGTGGAGGTTGTGATGTAGAGTAGGATGACATCACGTGTGTGATGTGCGTCTGCATGCGCGCTGCGCGTGCGCATTGCATTTTCATGCTTCTATTGCTATGCGATTATCTCTGTCTGATAGTTCGTATCTTCGCATAAGTGAAAAGTCGATAGCCGGATGAAGCCGACTTTTTGACATTGATTCGTTGAACATCAGGTTGCGCCTGCCTCAATAAGCACGATGCATGTGTGACCCCGCGTGATGTGCAATCTCGGTGCGCAGACACCCAGATCACACATATCCAGTGTCTTCTAAAATCTGGCTACACCAAGGTGCCAGTAGTCAATCATAGTTTCACATCATCGACCAAATCCTGCTAAGATGATCATCACAACGATACTTTGCCTCTTCGCTCACTTCTTTATCACGTATCCGCTGTACCAACTCTATCGCAATCACGTGTGCGCACGTAAGTCTGGCTTGCGCATCATCATAAGTCCTGTCACCCCATATACTCTGCAATGGCAGCTAGTAGCCAGTCTATTCCGAACGTACCTAGAAAGATACCGGTGGTTCAGGGCCATCGACTGGACATGCTGCTGGCAAGACAACGACAAGTTACATCAAGAACTTGGTCTCTGCTTCGTTGTGGTGGCGCCAGGGCATAATGTGCTATGTACGATTGACTCAAAAACGATTGAACATGTGCTCAAGGATTGGAGGGGTTATGTAAAGCCTGATAATGTGAATGGTGAGTCCGATGATGTGTGATAGAACACTGGAAGAGGAAATTGACCATGGCTGTAGAGATCTTGGGCACGTTCGGGCAAAATGTTGACACGGTATGTGCATTATGCTCTGGAAACTCGCCGTTCACCTCATCTTCGTCGTACTCAGGACCGTAAAAGCTAATGCAAAAAGTCAAATGGCGATGATTGGATCCGTCATCGCAAACTCACAGCGCCATGCTTCAACGAGCGAGCCTCAGCCACGGTGTGGAACGAAGCTCTGCAACAGTCGAACAACATGATCGAGCGTTGGCTCTCATCACCAGACGGAAGGACAAACAGCATGATCAAGGATACCAGTACACTGGCGCTCAACGTCATCTCTTCGGTCGCTTTCGAGAATACAGAAGTCAATGAACCGACATCAAGTCACCAACTGTCACTTCGCGATGCACTCGTAAAGGTGATGAGTACTTCGATCTCTCCGGCTATACAGAGTATCATGCCACTCTTCAAATCGCCCGTACTCGGATCGCTACTTCCAACTAGTACCAAGAGATTGTTACTTGCCATGCGTGAGTTCCGGCAATACATGGACGAAACTGTCGTAAGGGAGCGATCAAAAGTGGCCGGCGGGCAACCCAAAGCTGCTACACTCATCAGCACGCTGGTCAGGGCCAACGACGAAATTAAGAATGAAAGTGGACCGTCGAAGTCCAAACTCTCGGATGTTGAGCTCAGAGGCAATATCTTCATCTTCACGGTTGGTGGACTAGAGTCTACGTCTATCACGCTATCACATGCATTGGCTTTACTGGCTGTGTACCCTGAGATCCAAGACTGGGTAGTGGAAGAGCTGGATGAAGTATTGAAAGATGAAGCAGCTGATGAGATGGAGTATGCAAGAGTATTCCCGCGACTGAAGAGGGTTATGGCCGTCATGGTACGTCCTCACTCTTCATCAACACCGGTCATCTACTGTTGCGCGAAGCATGATCGTAGGCTAACAGAATTGTAAGTACGAAACGCTACGTCTCTACAGTCCTTCACCGCCTCTTCCGCGCTCGCCTTTCCCTGCACATCTCCAACGTATTATTCCAACGACTGGGTCAAACTCTGAGGAAAGTACGGCATCTGTTCGTCTCCCAGTCAATACTCAAATCATGCTCAACTCTTGGGCTTCTCATACCTCGTCCGCCAACTTCTCTGACCCGCTTACGTGGAATCCGAAGCGCTGGATTCAGTGGCAATCCGCCGCCAGTAGCAAGGCAGCGCTACCCGGTATACTCTCTGCCGAAGAGCTCAAGCACCCAACGAATGGTGGTGGGTTCTTCGCATGGGGTGCTGGCCCGAGAATCTGTCCGGGAATGAAATTTAGTCAAGTGGAGTTTTGCAGTGTGTTGAGTAGCGTTCTGAGAAAGGTCAGGGTTGACGTGGTGTGTGGAGAGGGTGAGAAAGTGGAGGTGGCTAAGCAGAAAGCGATGAGTATCTTGCGGGACTCATGTGCAGACCCGCTGCTACTTCATGTCAGACAACCAGAAAAGTTGGAGTTGAGGATTATCGAGCGCTGAAATCTATCGAGATTGACTTTGAACGCAATCATAGGGGAGAGGGCTCTTGAACACGTGTTATAAGACACAAGATTTGGCAGCGGTGGTAGTTGTCAAATTTCCGTGTAGTAATCGCTGCAGAGTGATTAAGAACAGGTTACCTGCAGTAAAGCAAAAGTCTTTGACTAAGCTGCATACTGTGTAGTCTTCCTTTCCCGAAGTCTCCCACGCCATGCGCCCATGTTGCGGCGTCTGTCCACCTCGGCCCGCGTCAACTGAGGTGCTCGCATCATGGTGGTCAATCGGCCCTCCATCTCTTTCTCGGTGAGTTCGCCTTCCACAAACTTCCAGGTATCTGTGACGACGACGTATTCGACCTTATCTTCGGTACCGTGGTGACTCCAGCTTTGTCCATCCAGCTTGCTTGGGCCCTTCCAAGTCCATTCTTTCAGCTCAGCGTTCTCAGCGCTCAGATATCCCTCGAGCTCATTCTTCTGGAAGTTGCCGCCTTCTCTTCGTACAGGTAGTTTCCATTTCTTGTTGCGCTCGATGATGCGCATCATCTCCGCTTTCTTCCAACTGAGCGTCTCGTACTCAACCCTCAGTACGCGCAAGCCGGGGTTTCCTTCGAAGTAGCGTAGCCACTTCTCTTCCATACTCAGTGGCTCATTGCTTTCCCAGAACCACCAATCGGAGTATCGTATGGTGATAGTAAGCTGGGTTGGTCGGAATTGAGGTATGCTGAGGATGTAGAACAGTTGATTGCCTTCTTCGAGCCAGAACATCTGGGTGAAAAGACGGACTTTCTGGAGTGACTGAACGGCTTGTGGAGTTAGGTTGCGGAAGAACCTTTCGCACGCTGGAGTGCATGTGCGGCCATCAGGTCCCCGATCTGCGTCGAGATCAGTTTGGGGTAACGTCACAGGCTTCGCATAAACGTACTAAACCAAAAAGCCCATTCCAGCTCTCTGAGGAACACTTTCTGACCCTCCGCGTACGCGAGCTTGCACGTGCGCAAAAGTGCACTGCTGCCCTTGAGCGGACCTGAGAAACCTGGCCGGTACCAGTACGAGTCTTCCGGATACGCTGCTGCGCTGTCTTCATCCTGCATGAGCGCCAATTGGAAGATCTCGTTACGGATCTCGCCAGGTATGACATAGAACAGCGGGCTTTGTGGCTGAAAGTTGGAGGGTGGAGGAATAGGATCAGACGCCATTGGAACAGCGCGAGTTTCGTAGCTTGAGATAAATGGTAGATGATCGCGAAAGCTGTCGAGAGGGCGTCAAGAGTTTATGTACCGCAACTTGGAGGTTGCAGTATCGGGCCTAGGCTGATGGCTGCCTGGCTGGTGGCACGGTTGATCAGGTTAGCGGCCTTGCCAAGGCGCTCACTGTCCAATGGACGGACACGCTAGCCGTCACAGACCCACCGGGTATAGTCAAATGAGGCCTCTTCAATACTGTCAAGAGATGCTATGGTGAAGGAACTTAACACAGTAGCAGCTGGGCCAGTGGATGTATAGTAACTTCGACTGTGATAAAAAGATGCGTCAGGAGCGAACGTGGTGAGTGGAGCTAACACAACGGTTATCGAAGGCAAGTGCATGTGTGACGAAGGAGGGGAAATCACACGAAGCAGCTGCACAATCAAATGCGACTAAAATGAACAAGCATTTGGCAACGAGGTCACTGCAATATCTAGGCGCTGAGAATGACTATGTTCGAAAGCTGGTAACATCGGTTGTAGGGAAGAGAGATGAACGGATGAACGCGTGCGGAGCTAGCATGTGAGAGTTGAACTAATGCTACTCTCCAATGTTGATCGAATCATTGTCGGAGGTGGAAGGAAGTTGGCGCGCTACATGGAGATCCTGTGATGCTTTGATTTCCAAAGTTATCTGGTAGTGACCCATTCTGGTGCTGTACGGGCTTTGACAGAGAGTATAGCGCGACCACTAGATAACTCTGCGATATACAGTGAGTGAACTCTGCTCGAGCTTGCGACATCTGCAAATGCAAGTGAGAGAAGAGTCAGCTGATAGCGCGTTGGCAGCTTACCCAGTCGAGACTAGGCTTGTTCGCGACTTCCTGTTCTCCAGCACTGAACAGGCTATCGCTCTTTCATCTCACCTGAGATCGTTACCCCACGCCTCAGACACGCGCGCTCGTCGATATGACTGACTTGTGTGGTCTCCCAGACGAGCTCCTGCTCGCAGTCGCCAAATGTCTGCGAGACTACACCAGGAACGGATACAGCGATCTCACTCACCTCGCGTTGAGTTGCCGGAAGCTACGACCTATTGCACAAGAAGTCTTCTACACGGAAGTCTGCACAAATCCACGCCAGAGACAAGGTCTCGCGCGTCTCGCGCGTACTCTCTTGCAGCGACATGATCTTGCGAGCAGAGTGCGGAAACTAAGCATCGAGCTGTCCGGCAAACCAATCATGCATCTTGAGAGCTGTGTGTCTTCGAGAGAATATCATCGATATGATAGGTGTACTTGCGGTATTCCGGAGCTTGGAACCCACTTCATCGCGTTTGCGAGCACTGTCGAGTCAGGGAACGATATCACGCTCCACAATGTTGGCTGGGAAGATATGCTGATGAGAGGCGTAGACACCGCTCTCGTCAAGCTCATCTTGTGTATCACCCCGGCTCTCAGTGATCTCACACTGGAAAACCGGGGCTCACAGTTGTATGCCAACTACAAAAACGTCGTTTGGGGGGAATTCGGAGAATTGTTCCACGACGTAGCCAGACACAAGGAATTCGCAGAATGTTTCCAGGGTCTCTCTAGCCTGACTCGACTGACCACAAATGGTTACCCACCATGCAACTGGCTAAGTTTACCCCGACTGGAAGCCGCGAGTATCAACCTATTCGAAGACGCTTTCTATTGCGACGATTACCTCAATTCCGACGAGATGATGTGGTATATCGCACCTAGCGGAACTGTTTCTACGAGTTTGACCCGTCTGATCATTCAAGCGGACTTTGAAGCGTTTCACTCTCACGAAGCTACTCATGGGCAGGGTGTGTATGGTCATATGAGAAGCGTTGTCCGTGGTCTTACAAACTTGACCCACCTCTTCATTCTGTACCGCACTATTATCGATCCATATGGCAGGTTCAATCCCCACAACACTCCACGAGGATCTTTCGCGCACATTGTCGCGCATCTGGAGAGCCGCAGCTTGACAAATCTGACTCTGGACGTTGAGCCCGCCCTCAAAGATCTGGTCAGGTACATGATCATGTTGGAGTATACTCGCGATGTATCTCCAATGACCAGGCTTGCTGGATTACCTAAACTTCGCAATCTCAATGCCCCACAGGAAGCTTTCTTCTCTGCGAACGAGGAATTCCGAACTTGTCATCTACCTGCCACGATCGAGAGTATCGGTATCATGGACTCGAGGTACGAGACCAAGCGCTACCTCAAGCATCTTCTGGATCACCAAACAAAATGGCCAAACTTAAAGAACATCAAGCTTGGGGAGAGTCCGTGTAACGACCGGTCCGTATACCCAGATGAGCACAACGATGGCGACGCTAGCGAAAGCGACGAAGGAGAGCGACAGAAAGACTTCGACATTGATGACTCAATCTATGAACAGGCTCGGAGCCGTGGTTTTCAGGTGGAGAAGGTGCAGGATACGACTGCATGGAAAAAGGGATGGGAAGGTCTGCATGAGCAGGGTATGTGGAAGCGGAGATAAGTTAGTCAGCAGACAACCGTGCGCACATCCGGACTGGAGTGACCGAAAAGGATACCTGAGCAGACACTGCAATCCAAAATAGCAATATAAACTAGCAGATAGTGATAGGAGATATCTTACGGATTTAACAAATGAGAAAGCGGATGATGTATCGAACAGGTGTCTTGACAAACTTGAACAAGCGCGATGTGTACACGTCTTCAAACCAGGCTGCTAGCGCTAAGACGATTGAGCACAGCATCGCGCACTTGTCATAGCTTCGGGTAAACTATGCGTAATCGGCTGAGCTTTGGGCAGCTGGGTAAACTACGGGGGTCGCAGAGCGGGCGTTGCCTATGCTGAGACCACAAGCCATCACGAGTGGTCGCAGAGTAAGTATGGGAGCCATCATATGACTTGAGAACTCTTGCACCCGTGCCATATCGCAGGAATCTCTTATCTAGTGTTATGGGTCTAGAGTGGTTGCGTGAAGTTCTGAGCAATATAATGACATATCCAGGAACAACATGAGGTGCGGCGAGAACCTCCGGGATGCAAAATTGAGTCTCGGTTTTTGGTCGAGGGTTTTCGCGAGATAACGATATATCCAGAGACACCATATGGTGCGGCGCGTACTTCCGGGCTGGAAAATCGGGTCTCGATCGTTGGTCGAACGCTTGCGTAATACAGTTCTATGTGATGCGGCGAGTACCTCCGGTTGTGAGTTTGGGTATCGGTTCTTGGCCGAAGGCTTTTGCGATATAATCATGTATCCAGAGACATCTAATGGCGCGGCGAGTACCTCCGAGCTGTGATATCGGGTCTCGGTTCTTGGTCGATGCGCTGAATGTATTCGGTACGTCGTGTTAGGGTAGCTCGATGACTCAAGTGACGTGATAGTGTGCTGGTTGGACTCTTTGAGTGGAGCAAAGACATAGACGACCTTATGACTTTTCGCCGTCGAGTAGTGCGGTACTGCAGTTAGCGCGCTTTGAGTCTGAATAAAAGGCAGCCCATTCCCCCCTCTCTCTCTCATCAGAACTATTCTCTCATCCCATCTTACCATATCAATCCGAACTCGCTTCAGACAAAGCCAGTACGCATACCAGTACGCCAGACAAACCATTACTACATCACTACCAATACCATCGCCATGTCTACCTTTACGCTCTTCCCAACACTACCCAAGGAGCTCCGCGACGCCGTCTGGCAAGCGAGCATGGCCACAACAGCAACCGTCGAATTCGACGAAGACGAATACATGGTCACAAGCATTTCGTCACCAGCCGCCCTCTTCACCACATCAAAGGAGGCGCAGGCCACAGCGTCGTCCTCCTCTCACCAAAAATTCCCCATCTGGGGCCCAGAAGACTGGGAAGATCTGGCCATAGATCCTGAGAACACGATCCTCGAGATCGTCATCAAACCATCAAAGTCCGCCACCCTCAATATCACATGGACAGACATCTGGGGTGTACTTGGCGACGCACTACCAGCCACACAACGCCTCCACATCGCCTGCACCCAGCCTGAGCGCCTGGCCAGGCTGTACATGGCAGAGGAGGCAGAATACCTTGGCGTCGGCCAATCCTGCGTCGAAGCGGGATTGTTCAACAATGCCGAAACCGTTTCGGGTGAGCGAAAAACCCGACAATCACTACACACACACCTCACGGTCACTGCTAGCAAGCATACCGTTGAAGAAATCGACCAGAACGCCTCTGAAAAAGAGGTCACCGTCTGGAAGATGACCAAACACACTTTTTCGGAGTTTGGGCCTGAGGCCAAAGTTTCCGCCAGCAAGGGGCTAGCGCGCGTAGAGGTCGACAATGCCTGTAAGATGTCCGTAAAGCAGCTTCACGACGCTGCGAGGACCTTCGCGCTGCCCGCTGAGGAGGGGGAGGGGGAGTTGTCAGGGGTCGAGGGAGAGGTGGAGGAGAAGTCAGGGGCGGAGCTGACGGAGGATGCTATCGCAAAGCATCTGGAGTGTCAGGGGCAGTGGCCGCCTAAGGCAAAGGATTTCGACTGGGATCCAGAGGGCAGCGTCGCGAGTGGGGATGACGAGGCCGTTTGGAAGTGGCTGTAGTCGCTTCGCCGGACTTTTGTGTTTGTTTTGGCAGCGGAGAGATGCGATGTCTGCTCCTGGCTGAGGTTTGGCGGTTGCATTCGGCGCTGGGTTGCGACGCGAGTTGCTCCCGGGTGAGGTTTGGCGTTGCGGTTTGCGCTAGTTTTCGACGCGAGTTACTCCTGGCACCATCATTCGCCGCACTTGCGTTTAGTTTAGTAATAAAGTCGTCCTCAAAATACTTCGTCTTCTGCTACTGTGAATGCATTCCTTCCTACACTATTGGGTTGTAATACCCAAACCTGTTCTTCGGATCCCACTCACCCTTCAACTTGACCAAATTAGCGAGCCTAGCATCGTACCCATACATCTCAGGCCTATTCTCTTCTCCGTTAGCGTAATTGACATAGCAGTGTCGCTTCCTGTTGCTTTTGTCCACGCCCATGTATAGCGCATTGCGTATCGCACGTTGGTATGCATATGCATCCTTGGTCGTCTGCGCATCGTCGCCGGCCCACCACAAGATCGGCGAAGCAAGAACAGGATACTCGCGTTCTTCGGGCGCCAATGCACTGGAAGCTGTATCAATAGCCCGTACGCCTTGCATGCCGTAGTTTTCCAGTAGGGTGACAGATGTATTGAAGCGAGGATCGGCCGTAAGGTTCCCAAATATCTTGAATGCTTCTCGGACACCCTGAAGATCCCAGGCGGGTAGAGAAACTCCGGCTCCTGCAATGTTCTCATTGCGCCAGCAAGTTTGACTTCCGAGGTTGTTTCCGGTGACCGTGTATAGCTCTACGTAGTTGACGTCTGTCGAAAGTGTAGTAGATACAGGACCGATCGCTATAAAACGCGCGGCGTAAGGTTCAGCTTCCGCTTCCGTACCCTCGTATGCGATAGTGTATGCTACGACAGGCTAGTGAAGGGTCAGTATCTGGCACAAATATTGCCGGGCTCTGCTTACATTGACAGGATCGACGGCAGGTATCCTTGCAAACACTCCTGTGAGCGCCAACTTTGTCGGGCGTTCTATAGTCGGCTCTTCAAATTCGTTGATCAAGCTGAACAGCGCCTCGATTTTGTCGGTGGTAAAGACGAGTGAGTAGACGGTCCAGTTGGAAGGGATGTCGTAGGTCTTTACTTGAAGGGCTGTGACAATGCCAAAGTTGTGACCTGCTCCCTGCAGGGCCCAAAACAGGTAGGCATTCTTTGTCCGAGAGGCTTCCATAACTTTACCGCTGGCAAGTACTACGCGTGCGGAGACCAGACCGTCGAGAGAGTAGCCGTGTTGACCTTGGAGTAGACTGTGGCCGCCACCTAACAGTGGCCCGGCTACTGACACACATTCTGCAAGTCCTGTGACTGATGAGAGGAACAGTAAGTGGCTGTATGTCTGCAGAGACTGGATCAAACTCACCAGCATACTTGCCCGAGGCAAACAGGGAGCGGGTGATCTCGTATTGCATCGTCCCGCCTCCGACGACAGCAGTCTCGCCATCCCGACTGAGTGTCGTAGTATTAAGCTTCCGCATGTTGATCTGGATACCGAACGACAGTCTGTTGAGCGTATTGGTCCACCCATGACCCCCTGTAACGGCCAAGAATGGAATATCGAAACGATTGGCCAATGCCACGGTGGTTTGCACGTCTGCCTCTGTTGCTACTTCGACCACCACATTGTAATCGGGGGATACGCGTGGGGACGAGCCGCGGACTTGGAGGTCATCCCAACGAGCATCCCATGGAAACGTGATAGTGGCGCCTTTCGATAATCGCGTGTTCAACGTAGACACTGCGAGTCTCAGGTCGTCTATCCCGGATGCAGATGAGCCATGGATGGCGCATAGCAGCCAAGCAAAAACAGTCGGAAACAGCATAGTGATCGGTTCTTCGTGCGAGCACTCGAGTGGAGGGTGTGAGGCGGGGAGACGAAGACTGGGGAGGTAGCAAGCACGAGGCGTGCGCGTTGGACCATGCCGTCAATTAACCCTCATGAGGTACTGGCCGTGGAGCAGATCCATGTTGCCTTTGCTGTGCCGCAGATGTCGGCAAGTTGAACGCGGACTTTAGCCCATCGGCTGCACATGTCGCTACGCTACTGCGTCGCTCATTCGACGCGCTGAGTTGAAGGATGCAGACCTACACGGCAGAGCGCCGTAGCGGCGGGGCTATCGCTTGGGAATAACATTGCTTCCATACAAGCATGTAGTTGGGGCTGTTTGGTGGATTTAGTGTAGTTATTCGTTTGATCGAGTCTGTCGTACGCTTTCGTGCCTGGCCTGAGGAGCAGGAAGGGATGGGCGACAGCGTGTCGAGCAGGAGAGGGTTCGCGTGAGCGAAGGCGCTGCCAAGGCGGCCCGGGACGGCACTCTCTTCCCTCCGCTGACTCGTCAGCCACACCCGCCACTTCGATACCCCACGACATTTCCACTACACCAACTTATGCGTCATTCGAAGGTTGTCACGCTGCTGAACAGCGCGTAATCCGCATGATAATACGCGTCACCTCGTTGTATCTACCAGAGCCGTCTGTGCCGCATAATCCCATTCCCAACCGTGATTGGACAACAAAATCCCCAGGCGAGAACTCCACGCCGCAACTCCAAAAGGAGGGAATCCCACGCATGGTGTCTACCGATCGTCACTGGCTCCATGCATATCTACCGAAAGGATGTGTTACTCAAGCGTTGTATTATTGACTATTATTGTCTGCGCCGCAATGATCATCATGCCTGACCAGTGCCAGCCTTCGGGATAAGCTCTCAAGCATCGCATCAAGAGTCCCTCATTCAGCGCTCACGATCTTACTCTGCACTCACTCAGCGTGCTTTAATAGCTTCTACTTGATGGAATCCGCGCAGCAGACCTTGGTAGTAGGGCCTTTGAGCTCGACACTCGATGTAGTCGTGTTCATAGCTCTCACGGGGATGACATGGTCAGTGAGCAAGCTATTCTCGTGCGCATGGAAAACTAATCCCCTAATAGGTTTAACGGCGCTGAGCTTCTAGTCACCATATTCCTCACGTTCAAGCGCTGGTCTGGTAAGTACTTCTACTGCTTGCTCGTAGCAACTCTGGGAGTACTTGTCTATCAAATCAACGTCTTTCTCATGATCTTCGCTCCACACCTAAATGCTTACGGGGTGACCGCAAGCATCGGGCTTGGGTGGAGTGCAATGGTCACAGGGCAGTCGTTGGTACTTTGGTCACGGCTGCACCTTGTGTGTCGCAGTGTTTGGAAGCTGCGTCTCATTTTGTGCATGATCATTGTCAATGGCTTATGCATGCATGGGCCTCAATTCGTTTTTTCGCTTTTGGTGAGTCCGGCAGAGGATAAAAAGACGTCGTGCTTACTGGATCCACAGGCAGTGAAGAATGACGCGATCGACCCGTCTTACAAGCCGTTCGTAATAATGGAACGGATATCTGTTGACGTTCTCACTACCCAAGAGATCATCATATCTGTGGTGTACTTAGTGGCGGCAGTGCGCATATGCCGGATGGGAGAGACCCTTCAGAGAAAAGGATGCCGTCGAAAAGTTCGATTACTCTTCCTGGCCAATGTCTTCATCATCTTCATTGATGTTTGCACCATAACCCTGGAATATATGGCGCTTTGGGGTGTCTGGTGTAGCTTCAAGGGCTTTGGTTACAGCGTAAAATTGAAGGTCGAGTTTGCTATCCTTAGTCAGCTATGCGACTCAGTCAAGAGTCTCGATGAACAGAGTTACGATCTACATCTTCCGTCAAAGACTGCGGGCGTATCTCGGCAAGGCCTAACGGAGTGTGACGCGCAGGGCCAAGGAGATTGATAGTTATTCAACTACTGTTAAACCACCGTTCCAAGCCAGCGATTAACAACCTCCGCACACTCTTCAGGCGCCTCCTCCGCACCAAAATGTCCAACCCCATCTCCCAACCCATGATTATCAATCTTAACTCCCTCACCAACCCAATCCTTCCACACATCCGGGAAGTCAAACCTACTTCCAATACTCGCCGCACTATACACCAACAGCAACGGCACTTGAATCTTCCTTCCCTCCTTCTGATTCTTCTCCTCTCTTTCAACATCCGTCGTAGCACCTTCCTTGTAGTCTTCGCAAGTAGCTTTCAGCGTATGTTCCTGATTGAAGAAATCGCCATAGACGGTCAACGAGTCATTAGCCTTCAGTTTCTCGATACCGGCATTGCTCTTTCCAGACCAACGTAGGATCATCTCTTGACACCATTTGGATGGGCCGAAGGCGGTGATCATACGCGTCGCCAAATCGACGTTTGCGAGCAGAGGCCAGTGAAAGTAGCCTGTTATCTCCTTTGCTGCAGTGGCTGGGGAGGTGAAGTGTTGCCATTGTGTGGAGGTCGGAACCTGTAAAATCAGCAAAAATCTGTTGTAGCATATATCAGAGATAAACTTACGATATCGATCAAACAAACACCCAGGATCTTCACTCCATCAACCCCGCTAACAGTAACATGGTGGGCAACTCTCGCTCCACGATCATGCCCAATAAGCACAACCTTTACATCCCCATCTCCACTTTTACTCTTCTTGACCTCCGTCTTCAACGCTTCGAGTACCGCCGTCCCTATACTCACTTTATCGTTCTTCGCAATCGGTGCACTAGCGCCGTACCCAGGTAGATCCGGAACGAAGAGCGGTGCCTTGGATGGAAGAAGAGGGATCATGTGGCGCCACCTAGCCTTTTGTCAGGTCATCCGACGCATGAAGTGCAGTGATAGGGATGAGAGAAAGTTACATGTAAGCCGATTGCGGATATCCATGGATAAGAACGATTATGGGATTATCGTCGCTGGCGCTCTCTAGCGAGCGCGTGTAGCAGCAGACTTTCTCCTTGTTCAAAGTGGACTTTGAGAGACCAAGATCGTTAAACTTGGTGTCTTGGATGTGGAGGGCGGATCTAGATGCCATGTTTGCGATCTGGGCGGCTCAGATGGGTATATTACTGATTGTGAGTATAAAGGCGCAACTGGGAGGGATCTGAAGGTTTTAGACCGGATAGTAAAGTATGCTGTTTGATCTCGGTCAAATGTCACTTTTCGCGCCCTTTCGTCCTGTGGATTACATTGGGGTAGCTGTTAGACCGAGGTATGACGCAATCACGCGATGTCACGTGTATGAGCAATCCAAGAGCATCAGTATCAACGCAAGTAATTGTTCCTGGAAAAGCAGGATGATGAAGTTGAATATCCTATATCTTTTGAACTACGATCAACACCCTCGGATGCATCGTATAGTGCCGCAGGTCCTCTACCCGAATACCAAGAACGCCAACGCTATGCAAAACATGTACTGAACCCTTCTTTTGACTTATCATTGCTCTCTCGCCAAGATCATCTTCTCACGTTCTGCCTTTCTCCGGACTGTGCCCTTCTTAGTGTGCCTCCTCTCGTTCTCTTCCTTCCTCTTGACAGCCTTGAGCTCCTCGTTCTTGATCTCACCCGCCTTCTTGACAGTCTTGGGCAGATGCCTGTGTTTCTCGATGCGCTTGATCTCTGGCATATGCTTGTATCGCTCCTTGAGCGCTGCGTCATACTCCAGCTTCTGTTTCAGTGCGAACGACTTGACGCCCTGCCTCTCAGATGCTCTGGCTCTCCATAGGCGGACATTGCCATCGTCGGATCCGCTGAGTACGTAGTTGTTGTCGGGACTCCATGCGACGGAGAAGACGCGCTGCATTCGCTTGGTGTGGTAGACGTCCCGAGCGTGACCCTTTGATCGCTCCCAGATTCTTATGGATCGGTCGTAGGAACCGGTGATGAGCTCTTCTCCTGTCGGAGAGAACTCAATGGACATGACTGCGGCAACGTGTCCTTTCTATTCGGTGTTAGTAATGATCCTGGCTCAACCTCCAGATAGGAGACTTACCAAGACTTGCAGCGCACGCTTCATATTGCGCATGTCGAATATGTATCCATTGTGGTCTTCCGAAGCAACGGCGAAGTTGTAGGCTTCCATGGGATTCCAGGAGATGCAGTTCGCGGGGAAGTTGAGCACAGTGCGGTGTAGGGGTGAGTTGGTGCGAGCGTCGTAGAGGATGATAGCGCGGTCGGTCGCACATGATGCAAGTATCGAGGTTTCGACCTGGTTGAATTTGACGTCCGTGATTGTGTCAATGGCCTACTGATTGTTAGTACACGCCTTGAGTCTGCTATGCATGGATAACCTACCGATGGCCACACGAGGTTGGAAACGGGAGCCCCTGACGTCCTTGATGTATCGTATATAGAGATGGAGCTGGATCCAGCAGCAAAGGTCGGCAGCGAGCGATGGTGCGAGACAGAGGTGAAGGCTGAGTTGCCGTGCCATGTTGCTTTGGGCGCCGATTTCGAGGCTTGCGCATACGGCTCGAACAGTTGAATCTGGCGGTCTGATCCACAGGTTATGAGTTTCTTGTCTCGCGTCCAGCACATGCCCTTGACGAGGTTCTCATGCGCCTGCGCCTGCCACTTCTCCTCCCTGCTGGTAAAGTCCCAGACCTTGACGATACCGTCGCCACTGCCACTGGCGAAGTGCTCGAGGGAGTTGGGGTCCTTGGCGAAGGAGTATACACCGTCTACGTGGCCAGGCTCGAAATCGCCGAGGAAGGGCTGCGCAAACATGCGCTCGACTTTTGTCGCATTGAGGGCTCGGGTGTATTCTCGCGCACGTTCGAACGGATGCAGGTTGGGGTCGAGGTTCCGCGTGACCTTGGCGACGCTGGAGCCGGGGGCCTGGGTGGACGCCGTGGACCGGCTGAGGGCTTTGATCTTCATGGTGGTGGTTGTCCAGCTGTGTCGACTGCCCGTCGCGAACTTTGCGGGTCTTCAAGATTTCCTAGAGGCTGCGGCGGGGCCAGCCAACCAGCGTGTTTGGCGCTAAGAATTAATGTGGGGCGGCGCCGGCCAAACTCATCGGATCAAGCGACATGCCACACACCATTTTTGCTCTGGCGACAACCTCGAACTCCAGGACCAAGAACCCCATCACTAACCCGGACAACAGCCAAAATGAAGTTGTGAGTGCCCCGATGCTGCACACGATCCTCTCTGCGATACAAATTGGCGCCCCGCGATGCTCCCCGAATTGCGCTGCGGGACGCCAATAATCGCACCCTGGAAAGCCTACAACATGCGACAGAACAGCTGCTAACATTCCCGCAGCCTCAAGGTCGGACGCGTTGTCGTACGTTTGAATCGCTCGAAACCCCCCCGTCGCACTCACTCACAGTCCGCCTAGATCATCACCCGGGGCCGCTACGCCGGAAAGAAGTGCGTGATCATCTCACCACTTGACAACGGCACCAAGTCGCACCCCTTCCCCCACGCGCTCGTTGCCGGTATCGAGACCTACCCCTCCAAGGTCACCCGCCGCATGTCAAAGACCAAGCAGGCCAAGAAGAGCAAGGTCAAGCCTTTCGTCAAGCAGGTCAACTGTACGTGGACATGAGGACGCACTCGTTGGGCAGACGCTGATAGATGCAGACACCCACATCATGCCCACCCGCTACACCATCGAGCTCGAGAACCTCAAGGGCGTCATCTCCGCCGACACATTCAAGGAGGTCTCGCAACGGGAGGAGGCCAAGAAGACCGTCAAGAAGGCATTCGAGGAGCGATACCAGTCCGGAAAGAACAGGTGGTTCTTCACTCCCTTACAGTTCTAAGCTTTCCTTCGGTTACGGCTGGGCGCAGATGGGCATGATTTGATACGGAAGATGCTGCATGAGCGGTGGATATCATAAGATGACAGGACCTTACAAAACCGGCCTGCCGTCCAGGCGTGTATTTCGGCTTGATAATCAAAGCATGAAAAATCCGGCATCCGCTCAAGGCATCCGGCTCAATTCACGAACTTCATGAAATGAACATGATTTTCACGTTGGCCTCTGTCTACTACTGGATGATACTGATGATGTAGTGAGGCTTATGCTGACAATGCAGGATTAAAACGACTAGCACTACCGAAGAGAAACAACGAGCCAATGCACGCCACGACCTGAGCGCCCCGTATTGCTACCTTCACGTGCGACGATGTAATGAAGCAGACGGCCTCGGTCCCGTCTACGAAGAAGCCGTCTAGGCCCTTGTTGGTTCGACTCACATGCTGATACAGTGCACAGTGAACATCAATCGATTGAACAGAAGGGATATCATGTCATTAACCGGTCTATCTTTGAAGGAAAGGCGCGCAGGCAGGCGCAAGAAAAGTACTCGACGCTACATCGACAAGCCATACTGATGGACGCCCCTTCGCCTTTGCTTTTCCGATCAGCGAGCCCTAATCACCTCGCTTCTCATCGTACAAACACCCCGAGATGCCCTCCATATCGTAGTCACACTCTACTGCTTAACCTCATCGACCTTCTTCTTCGTCTGCTCCTTGCCCTTGTTCAGGTATCCCAGCACAACGTCACACGCATCGCTCACCATCCTGAGCTCGAAGCTGACTGTCGCAACACCCATCTTGACGACACCGTTGTTGTAGTGCGTCTTCTTGTACTCGTCTTCCCAGGTGCTTCGCACATATGTGACGGGCGAGAACGCATACTCCTTGAGTTTTGAGGTGTCTTCCTTGACGATGGGCAGGTGTGTCTCGAGAGTGGAGAGGCCAGAGTCACCAAGCTGGTCGGCGCGTGCCAGGTAGGGCGAGAGGTAGGAGTACGGTGTGCGCAGGTAGGGGTGGAAGGGTGCAACGACCGAGTTGTAGGTATTGCTGGCGAGGTTGAGGGCGCGCGAGCCGTAGGGGTTGGATTTGAAGGTCTCGACGCTGTCGTGGACTACGGGGTAGGAGTTGAGATGCTGGAGTTTGTCAGCTGCATGTTCATCTATTGAATCTCAATGTATGCAGTCGCGGTAGTTTCCGCGGAAGCTTTTCGGACGGCTTCCGCGAAGTAGGGTTCATGCTGTAAGAAGGGTCGCGGAATGCTGGGTTGATTGGCTGGGCCGTAAGCTCCGCGCCTGCATCGTGGGTTTCGTGCGCCGTGTTACTGGTCCGAGTAGATTGCGATTCCCAGGTGCTCGACACCCCGCGACGGTCCGCAATCATCGTTGGATCGCAGCAAAGTGATCCATGATGTCTGTGAAGAGACGTGTTTTCCGGATGTGATGCGAAGAAGAAAAGTAAGTAGTACATACCGACAAAGCCTTTGAGCTGGGCGTCTCGCCGTTAGTCATAGGCGCCTGGGAGCTCATGTTGCCGTCGTCAGTTGCGTGTGGTGCCATTAATCGTAGTAGTGGATATGCAGTGTTGCAGGTTCTACTGTGGTGGAAGAAGAATTGTTGGATTGCGAGGCAGTGGAGGAGTAGCAGTAACGTAGAGCAAGACAGAAAAGGGTCCTGGTCGACCTTATTATACGGCTGTGCGCTATGATGTGACTGTATTTGGTTGGGAGGCTTTGCTGAAAAGGGCGTGGTTCAGTGGGCTGGGGTGAAGCAGATGCAGTGGCATGTGAAAGTGGCTATCGTCGACAAGCGCCATGTCAATCTACGCGGGGACCTACCAGAACGTCACTACCCAAAGTCAACTTTTCGCCTCGCTTCTCGTCTCGACCGTTGAGACCCAGCGTGCGAAGTCGATGCAAGTCAGTCGTTACACAGAGCAAGCCGCAACAAGCTGCCTTCATGTCTGCCCCGCTTCTCGAACTCTATCGCGCGCCCGTTGAGCGTTGAGGAGCTGGCCTGCAAGGCGTACAGCTTGCGCCTGGCATGTGAAAGACGTGACGCTTTGGCCACTCACGACGCGGCGACGTCAGATAAGGTCAGCCACGCCCCTCTCCTGTTGGCGAAATATTCAAACAGCTTGGCCGCCCTGTATACACGCATATGTCGGGCTTGCATTTCTTGTCCTATCGGTCGCGTCTCGATGATACGGTACGCCGACTCCGCTTCCGCGTCAGCTATCGCGAAAGGTCCAATTGCTTGCCGCAAACCTACCATGGATCGGTTGGCATCGTGCATGGCAGCTAGGAGTCCTCGCCTCGCAATTGGGTTCTCTTATCACGTCGACAATTCCAGCGCTGCCATTGAACGGTGACGGGAACTGGCTCCGTCATACGTGCCGCATAGATACCTCCTGTGCATCAGCAGGATTGCAGGACAGCGCGCGTCTCGATATCAATACGGTGGAACGTGTTGAGGCCGTTCTGGGTCCTGAATGAGAATAGAAACCTGCAAAGCATGTGAAAGTGGATGACGAGGTTTGGCGTGTTGCTAAAGCGCACGAATCGTGTTTTGGCGCACATGCTGAGCGCGCTTACTCATCGGGCGCCGATGCGGAGCTTGCATGTCACGCGTTGCGGCTCATGCTCACGAGAAAATCTCCTTTCGTCTTTGCTCTTCAATGGCTTGGCTATCACGAGTCACAACGCTTTGGATCAGCTGCTACCGAGCCCCGATGGAACCGCGGCATGCATCTTCCTCCGAACCTCGATAATCGGCATTCCTTCTTGAGTAGGTGGGCCTGCCGGGAAGGATGCGATAAAGACAGCACGCCACTTTTCACCACAACGGCGGCTTTCACGTGCTTATGCAGTGTGGCGGATCGACAGGCTAAGCGAGGACGGTTCATCGATGATCGTTGTCGTTTGTTGAGGCTAGTTTGACGACATGCGTTCTTGTGCATAAGGAGATGGGCGCAGAACCTGTTGCGCAAGAAGGCAGCTACACGGCAGCGCGTGGGACGGTAAGACGCATACTGATAGAAGCAGGTCAGCAGCCGATACCTTCCTCGAGTTTGGGATGGTTTGTCGCATCATCAGGGCTTGGCTTACTTCTACCAAGATGCAGGGCGGTGCCATGGACTGTGTATCTTGGGACGAGCTCCATTACCTGAATTGGTCCAAGGCTACAAATCACTTATCAGCACGAACGGCGTCACAGACTGTGATAGATGTAACAAGATGATAAGAGCAGGATATGTCCCGGCCTTGGGTCTGAGTTTGAGCATTTGGATATGGGTCAGCTACTCAACTATTGGTACTTACCTATCCTGCGACTCCTGCTGGTCCCACATCCTCCGGAACTGCCCGTCCGGTTTCTGAAGCAGTTCATGGGGGTGCCCCGACTCAACCAGGCGTCCCGCGTCCAAGACTATAGTTGTGTCAAAGTCGACAATGGTAGCCAGCCGATGCGCAACCGCTACAACTGTACTGCCCTCAAACTCGGTTCGCACAAGATCAAGAATCACCTTTTCTGACAACGAATCCATAGAAGAGGTCATCTCGTCTACCACTAGGATCTTGCTCGGGCGTAGAAGTGCCCTGGCAACAGCGAATAGTTGTAATTCACCTTGAGACAGACCAATATCGGCCATGTTGCGTTCGATACCACCCCGATCAGCGACCGATGAAGCGAGGCCGACCTTTTCCAAAGCTGAGTTAATCTCGTCGACATTTCCCTTTTGCAAAGGGTCCATATTCTCCCTCATTGAACCAGGTATGATCAGTGTCTCTTGAGGAATCGCCGTCAGGCGTTCCCGGACTGAGCTTCGAGGAACAGTAGTAAGATCAACATCGTCGATGTAAATACTGTCCCTCGGGATATTCTCCAGCATGTGGAAGAACGAGAGCAGAAGAGATGATTTTCCACTTCCTGACCTGCCGCAGATACCGACTTTGGTTCCTGGTGCAATACGAAGACTGATCCCGTTGAGAACATCTGAACCATCTGGAGTATAGGTAGCGCGCAAGTCTTGGATGACGATCTTCCCATCTGCTGGCCAGTCTTGATTCAGTTTCGCGACTTCAAGTGGCGATTGCTCGTTTGGAGTCGTTTCT